TATATTAGTAGCTGTTATATAACATTGAGCATTGTTTTTATAACACCTGAAAAAAATATTTACATACAAGTCTATGTGTGTATAGATATGTTTTTTATCATACTCCTCTCTGTCTCTCTCTCTCTCACTCTATCTGCCTATATATATATATATATATATATATATATATATATAGATAGATAGATAGATAGATAATATTAATGGTAAATATACACATACATATGCAATCATATATCTAAAATATATAAATATATATACATACATACATACATACATACACATGCATAAAAAATAAATCCAAGAGGATAGAATCCAGGTAGAACTCAATGTCCAGGACAGAGTAAGGATATAATAAAAAGGCTTAAACACTAATATTAGTGTTTAAGCCTTTTTATTATATTTTATTATATATCTTACAAAGAGTTAATCATACCTTGAATCAATTAATTATAAGTTAATTATGATTAACTCTTTGTAATATAAAGTATATGCTGCCTATTTTATTATGTTCATATCTATATCTATATATATCTATATATATCTATATATATATATATATATATAGATATATTTTATATACACACACACACATATATATATATAGGATTAATACATTTAAAATTTATTAGCTGATTGATATTATATTCAGCACCTCAACTCCAGAGTTTCATAGATGAACCTTTTAGTAATTGTTTGATTCCCTCATCAGGTGGTTTCATATACATACATACATACATATATATATATATATATTCCCAAAAAAATTTTGCTTGAAGATGAAACAGAGCTTAGTACTTTAATTCAATTTAATTCAAATAATTATATTGAAGTTTTTGGCTCTTGTTTTGAAACATGAGAACTCTTACGTAGCGTTGGAATCATATTTTTAAATAAATAATTATATATATATATATATATATATATATATATTGGCAATGTTTACTCATGATATATCTATAAGGCTTCTTGCTGTGGGTGAGGTCGTCAAATTTTAAACATTATGTGTGTTGTTAATGCATCTTTAAGGCCTGTTGCTGTGGGTGAAGTAGCTTCATATTTCCTCCTGGTACCCGTGACTGGTGTTCAAGCCTAGGGAGAAGCCAGGATTTCAGATTCTGTTTTTTGGAAGACAGGCAGAATCTTGCTATTTCAAGACTAGTGCAGCACATTCTTCCTAGTTTGTTTTCTCGCATGTAGCTTCATGCTTTGTGTAAACTAAACACACACACACAAGTCCTAAGTACATGATGTAATTGTAATTTTAATTTTTTTATCTATGAGTTCCATTCATTCACAGTTTTTGTTGATATTTTTATTTTCAACTTCTCCAACAAAACATAATTCGCTAATTAGTCATCTTAGACTAAAGTAAAGTAGAAATATATGTCATTTTTAAAGTTATTGATCTTTAAGTTTAATGTGGGAAAAACAAATCAAGTTGAAAATAGAATCCTAAATAAATACGTTTTTTATTTATTTATTTATTTTTGTCTTACTTTTTCTTTCTTTATGCAATAAAAATCCACGCCCTCCACTAAATTAAAGTAAATTTGTATAATTTAGACTGTTTAACTTCGTTATACAATTTTTAGGTTGGTAAATAAATATGAATTGCACATTTTATTTTTATTAATTAGAATTACAATTTAAACATCTAGGTGTGAGTGTTTCTCGTTTACTTTTAAACAGTAAAAAACACCTTAAAATATTTATAAATGCAAACAGCATTAATTACACGTGTTTTTATTTACTAAAGTAATACTCTGGCATATTTAGGTGATGAATTTTAAAAACCTTTTTTTTCCACCTTGAAATTAAAGACATTTATATACAGTTATTTAATGTTCAATGTTGTACACTACACGTAGGATCAATCAATAAGTACGCAATATACAAGTATAAATGATTAATTAATCGTAATAATCGTTAATTATCCCATGTCAACAGCATAGAAATTTAAAAAATGCTTTCATCTAAATGAGTATTTATTAAAAAATACAAAAAAATAATATTAAAAACAAAAATATGTTGAGATTAAGAATCTATTTTGAAGCACTTCGGCGCCCTTCAGTCAATAACTTCCATTTTTTTTTACTAGAATTGGTTTTTCTTGGCCCTTAAAAGATATCACACGCAATTTACAAACAAATATAGCTTATTAAATAAATTTCCCTCCTAAAATACCTAAAGTGTGAGACAGAAAAGTGTTTTATCTAAAAGGTTTTCTTTCATCCATGTAAAATCTTCCTAGACTTTCCTTGCTTCGCCATTACACTTTTACTACAGTAGCAATTAAATCTGTCCTTTTTTTTCTTGCTTCGTACGACATGACAGTTATTTAATACTCAGCCTTTTGCAAACAGAGCATTTCTCAAGGGGAAAGTCGATTTTATAATTGAAATGCCGTGATTAAATGGTTCGCATCAAGGAAGAAAGTGTGAAGTTATCAGGAAAAAAATTGAATAAAAAAAATCATAAATTTGCAGGCGTGAATTGATCTTTCTTTGTAAAGATTAAAAATGTAGCTAAAAAAACACACACACACACACAAAGCAATTTGTAGACTAAATGAGATTAATTATTGAATAGTCAAAAAATAAATTTAAATTAATTACCAACTCTGTCAGTATTTAAAAAAAAAGCAATAAGTCAAATAAAAACCGATTTAAAAAAAAATAATCATAATAGTCGTGGCTGAATGTTTCAAATTTTGTAAGAAAGTGTTTGTAACTATTCCGCTTTAAAAAATAAAAAATAAAAGTTTTAATTTATTTTTATAAGTCTTTATTACAAAACGATGATCCGTGAAATTATGTTTTAATCAAAAAACATTTTCGGACATAAATAAAATAATTGATACAATCAAGTATTTTGATATGTCTGACATAGAAGTGGAAGAGAAAAAAAACAATGAGTGTCGAAAAAGTCACACATAACAACAGAAAAAAAAAGACAACATAAGGAAGGGCTTCGACATCGGCCCAAACCCTTATTTATTATTATCTGACAATGTAAAAAAATCAAAAATTTTAAGTTGACAATTGCAGATTTGTTACACTCATCGCAAAATTATTTGACAACATAGACATATGTTGAACTAATTTAAAAGCTGTTACTACAACACGAGCGATTCTAATTAAGATGGCTACAGAAAAACCCTTATTAATAATTTTATAAACACTTTCAATTAAGTCCCTACAATAAACGATAGAAATAGTTAAGTAAATAAAAAGTCATAACTCTGAATTAGTAATCTTTTTAAAAAAGTGGCATCGACTAAAAAAAAACCAAAAAAACATTTTTCTTTATTTTGTATTTATTTTTCAATTAATTTGCTCAACTAGAGAAATTAAATAAATTACATAAATAAATATCTTTATAATAAATACATTATTTAAACAAAATTAAATTTGAATTTATTTCGCTTACCCCTTAAATATTTTTTCAAGTAGAAAAGAAATGAAATCGATTATTTAAAAAAAAAGATAATAAATTTCGTGTTTTAAAACTCAAAAGTAAACATTTTTTGTACAATTAATAAAAGTTTAAAATGAAAGAAAATAATAATTCAATGTTTGAAACTTTTCATTATTTTATAATTAAAATAAAAAAAAAACTTTTAAATTAAAAAAGGAAAGATCAAACAATTTGCTGTCATCGTCACTCAATGTCGTCTACAATAACAAAAATATATTTTTGTTGTGTTATTTAAAATATTTCTATTTTTGTTTTTTAATTTTTAAAGCTAATTTTAACTCAAAATAATGAATAATTATTTATATGCCAAAAATTTGCTGACTTGTATAAAATTGCATTTAAATGCTTATTCATAAAAAAATTAAAAGAAATGTCATCATAAAAGTTTGTCTTCTCGCAGTAAAAAAATCTTATTTGCTGTTTAAATAGAATTTCCAACAAACTCCATTAAATAAAATTAGCTAAGTTTAAATAATTATTTGTAGTTTTTGAAATATTTTTAATAATGTTATTGTCTCTAAAGAGAAACTGTAGGGAAATAGTCGAGTCATGAATTTTTAACTGGAGTTCAAATTATTGCATAATAAAAGTAACAGCAGATCAAGTCGACAGATGAGACATCATTAGTTAAAAAAAAAAAAATTAAAATTGTAACTTAGCTGGTCGTTTTAAATATTTTATAAGAAAAAATTATTAAGTCATTTCGAAACTTTTGATGATTTTTAGAGTTCAACTATATTCAAAGGTAGGTACATAATTTCAAATTACTGATTGAGCTAAATTTATCTTTCTAGTATTGTAAATCTTCTTAGTTGTGTTAAATCTCTTCTTCCCACGATTTATATTGATAAAATTTCAATTAATTTTTTCAAGATGAGTTGATATAGAATATTTTTGTCAAAACTTTAGCGTAAATACTCGAAAGTTATTTTTTTTTTAGTTATTTTCTGTCATTATTGATTGATTGTTATTGTATATATACACCCAGAGATTTTTCAGATCCATATTCCCAATCACGTTCGCTATTGATTGATCCAAGAATGGAGCTGACTCAAGTGTTTACAATACGTTCTTAGTTTCTGAAACTAGAGGTAACAAATAAAAGAAAAGACCAAAAAGTGAACGAAGCTGAGTGAGGAAGAGTTTATTTTTATCTAGTTAGAATACAAGACAATAATACAAAACAATTGGAATATTTCGGTAAAATAAATAAAAGAATACAAATTAAGTTAAAAAGATGAATATATTTATAATTTATCTGTCTTCCAAAAATTAGGACCGTTTATGAAAAATTTAAGAGGGATTTGGATCAATATAAAAAACTACTATAAAATACAGTCAACACATAGCGGTAAAAAAAGCAGACGAAAAAGAAATGGTGTCGTTATCATATTTGTTTATTATATTCTTTATTAGTTTGGATCTTGCAAGATATTTATTATTGTTGCAGTAGATCGAGCATGTACTGGTTGTCAGGATGGCAAGGGATGAAAGGAACAAGGATAAGAAGCAAATAATGAAGAATGTTGCGCGCCATCCCCCAGGAAGAGAGCAACCGGACGTTGATTTTCGGTCAAGCTGTTAGCCAATCAAATTTGAACTTGCTTTCCCGCCGTCCAGAGCTGAGGCAAGCTGTGTGTGTAAAGTATGCCATGGTCGGAGGAGGAAGAAGCACTGTAAATACAACACAGCCAAGAACAGTGAGTAAAACAACCATTATTTTCACTTTTGCCAACTAGCCGACAACCATAAGCAAATCGTGCAACCATCGCTGACAACTTGGTTGACGTTTCGGCGTTTTTTTTTCTCGATACTTGATATCTTTTTGCTCGTTTTCAAACCTGTATACATGTCTATCTCCACCATTTCCACATAAATGGCTCTCCTCTCCCTTTACACCGTTTACCTCCCCCTTTTCTTCTTTCTCTTTCTCCCTCTCTTGCCTTCCCCTCTTTTTATTCTTATTATTTTAAGGTCTTTCTCTCTTTTTTTTTTTCTTCCTCTCCCTCTCTTTAGTTTTAATGTTGTACTCCTCCCCCTTTTTTTTTCCTTTCTTTCTCTCTTGGACTGTTGAGATCCATTTCTGACCGTGCGATGATGGCGGTTGTTGGAATCCTTACGAAGGCGAAACGAGAGATGAAAGAAAGGAGAGGGAGGAAAATAGACTTTTTTTTTCTCCCCCTATTTATCCTCGTCTCCCTTGTGTTGTACAGCAAGGAAGGTCGACTATGAATGAAGAAAGGAGCAGCCATAGCCGCTCTTCAACACACTCAGGCCAACAAACATGGCTACCAAATCGCAATAATACAAAGATTAATAATAATAAGACATTTAATGCTTTAAAAAAAAAAAATCTCTTTTTAAACGCTTTATGTTATTTTTTTTCTACTTAAAATTATAACTTAAAAAAATAAAACTTTTCCTTTTATTTCTTATAAAAAAAAAATCCTTTTTACAATTTTTACCCAACAGGCCGAAGTTCAACATTTAAAAACAATTTTTTTTTTTTTTTTTTTTTTTTACCGGCACATTTAAAAATATTTGTATTTGTCTATAATTAGTGTTTTTTTTTTTTTTTTTTTAATAAGTTTTTTTCATGGGAGAAAAACAAAAATCAACCGTTATACACATATTTCTTTTTGTTTAAATTATGAACGTTTTCTTTCTTTGCTTTCAAACGTCCCGAATTTTTTTTTTTTTAAAGTAGATAAAAAGAGTGGGAAAAATCCTTTTTTTTTTTTTATCTTTTTCATATTTTTTGGGCTGAAAAACGATTTGGCAATCTTTTCTTTTTATTAGTAAATATTTGAAAATAAGATTAAAAGTTTTATTTATTAAAAAAATGAAACATTTCAATTATTTCTAAAAAAAAAAAAATAATAATAATTTCAGTATTTTTAAATAAAAAAAAAAAACGGCTATATAAAATTAAATTACAAACTTTTTATATTTGATCTTAATTTTTTTTTTTTTTTATCAGATTGAAAAATCTTAAAAATGTAATTAAAATCAAATTAAAAGAAACTAATTTTTTATTTATAAATTAGGATTTTAAAGAAAAATTTTATCTCTTTAAGTAATCGCTAGTTTTTATTTTGGTGTTGGTTAAAAAAACACTGAAAACAAAAAGGTATATTCCCAACTTTTTTTTCCTGGGGGAGGAAAAAAAGACTATTTAAAAGTCTCTTTTCTTTTTCTTTTTTTAAAATTATATATAATCAAAAGCTGTCAATTCAAAAATAAAATCATTATTATTAATTAATATCTCCTTCAGCTTTTTTTTTCTTTACGACTTATTACAGAGCTTTTTGTTTTTGGGGAAATAAGATTTTGAAGTCATCAATGCTAAATAAAGTTTTTATGTCTTGTCTTTTTATTAAAAGAAAAAAAGCTACACCCATAATACTTTCTTTTATTATATATATATATATATATAATAACGCGCGCGCAGAGATGTTAAATGAAACTCTGGTGGCGGTACATATGTGTGAGTGTGCGCGCGCTGTTTTTCCCCTATCCCCCTGATCAGGAGTAATACTGGGGGGAAAGGGACCTCTTCAGTTATAACAAGAATTGCCATCGACAAGAAGAAGCAATTCTTTTGTCACTCTTGAAGGAAATTGGGGTCAGATTCCCTAAAAATGGATTTATGACCGATGATTTGTTTATTGTCAGTGTGTAAGTCTCAAATTGATTCTAACTTAAAAACACTATTTTTTTTCTTTTCTTGTGATATTGCTTTTTTTTTTTTTTTTTTATCAGGTCGATTTGATCTTAAAGATCGAATCTAACTATTATTAACTGTCACCCCCATTTTCTTTTCACAAATACACGTAAAATGTAATCAATTTCAAATCTATTTGTAGGTGATGTATTTGGTTGAATTTGAAATCAATATCTGTTTTATTCCCAGTTGGTCCATTAGTACGACATTATTATTACTTAATGAACGTCTAACGATTTCCCACGTGTGTTGAGTCGTTCATAATTTTTATTGTTTTTCAAATGAAACTCAGGAAAACAAACAGTTAAAAAAAAAAATTATATTTCAAGGGAAATATAGTTTGTAGTATTTAAAAAAAAAAAAGTCTTTTTTTTTTTTTTGCAAAAACTCGCTTGAATTTGTTCTTGGATTTTCACATTAAAAAAAAAAAGATGAATTTTAAGTTTTAAAACTAAAAAAAAAAAAGAACAAAATATATCTAAAAATTCTTTTTATGAATGGTTCGGTTACTAAAAAAAGTAAAAAGTTTGTCTCTTTTAATTAATTTTTTTTTTTTTATGAATTGATTAAATAATGAATTATTAAGACGAAGAGTAAATATGGGACACAAAAATTCAGCAAAACAGCACGTGTAAAAATAAATGTCAAAAGCAAAAGTCAAACAAAACTATTCATAAACATTACATGATTTACAATTAAACAATAAAAGCCATACTTCCAAGAACATGAAATTGATTTGATTCATAAACATTTTCTCTTTTATGAACTATACTTTTTTTTTTTTTCTTTTTTTTATTAATCTTAATTAATATACCTTTTTTTTTATTGGGATTTGGAAGGTTTTTTTTTCTTAAAGGAAGTCTTGGATTTATTTAGTTAAAAAAACAAACCATCAAAGTGTCCGAAAAATACAAAAAGTTTATAATGTATTATTGTTGTTATTATTTCCTGCATGTAGTCTTGGTAATTGTTTGTTACTACATTAAGTCTGTGACGTGATTGCAAAAGCCATAATAGACGTGTTCACGTACATTGCTAGAAGAACGTGTGAACCAGAGAAGCAATCAATGAATTCGATCTGACAATATCGATTTCAAAACAGGCAGCAGTTGCAGAAGAAAAAGCACTACAACTACTACTAGTACTACTATTATTATCATTATTAACCTGAATAGTACAATATTATTAGATTTTGTAATTCTTCAATATTTTTTTCTTTCGTGACACGTGTGTTTAAAGTGTGTCAATATATTTTTCTTTTCTTTCGGGCATTTGCACTTTGCCATATACAATAAAAAAAAATAGTCATTTTTAAAATGTTTGTATTCTCTTATTTCCTTGATAAAAACAAATGGTTGTCTTTTCTGTATCGGCTCTTCGATTGAACACAACAGAAAAAAAATGTTCATTTCTCTTTTAGCCCACGAAATTCGATTTTTGCCGTTGGGGGTGGGTGGGTAAAAAAAAAATGGATCCAATAGCTCAACACAGGCTGTAAGGATTAGAGTTGGGAAAGAATCCTGGATTTTTATTATCTCCCGTGATCCCCCCTCCTCTTAATTATTAATTAAACTCTATCTTATATTTTATTAATTACTTGCTTAATGGAGCACAGCTGCTTTGTTTGTGCGGTGGGGGGGTACTTACTGTGTATTATTATTATTATTGCTTTAAAGTACAAACACATGTTAGGTTCGATGTTGTAGTCTTTTTTTTTTTTTTTAAGTTGGGTCCCCTTGTGTGTGTGTGTCTGTGAGAGTAAGTGAGTGAGAAACTCCCGCCTAAGTCGGCTGCACTTGCCCCCGGCAGCCTCCTTCCTTTCTGTCTTGTAACCCTAGTTCTGTTCTCCATCCATCTCGATTCTGTCGCCTCAACACTCACCGTGGAGAAGGACAATAGTTTGGCTAATGGCAGAAAATAATATTATATATACCATCTCGCGTAATATTTATTTTTCTTTTGACTAAACTTGGATTTAACAATGATTAGGATTTGGGGTTGTATTACTTAATTTACTATTTATTTATTGTTTTCTTTGTGTGTGTGAGTCGGGTCACCATCATATCGAGTTTTTTTTTTTTTTTTCTTTGGGTGGCATTTCCATTACCATCATCAGGGAGACCCATGGAGTTTCTTTATCTACTCTGGGTGGTGTTTTTTCCTTCTTTTAATTTTGGTATTTATAATTCTCTTGATTTGCCATACTCACCTTCGGCATACCAAAATACAATCACCAATCATTCGAAATTGTAGATTTTATTTTCATGTCAACATTTAATCAGTGTTTATTTTTATTATTCATTTAACTTTATTGAAGTCTTAAGAGAAGCAAACACATACACACATTTCATGATATAAAATTTATATAGTCATTACTAGTTTTGTAAAGAAAAAAAATGCTATTTGTAGTAAGTGCAGATACACTGACAAAGTACAGGAGTAATAATTTTCTACCAAGATTGTTTAAAAAACAAAACATTTTCACTTTACCAGGTGACTGATAAACATACAATAAAAATAAAAATAAATAGTCCAGTTAAATAGTATTTCTGCTCACTAAACGAAAATAAGTCTTTCTTTTATAATCCCGAATCTCCCTTTTATCAATAATGCTCGACTTTTGTTCTGACCTCTTCTTCTTATGATGATGATGATTGATGTCTTATAATGTGGATAATAATAATAATAATTCCTTTCATCCAAATAATGGCTATCGGCCCGATTGAGATAATCGATACGATTATTTTCTTAGCCTCAGCGCACTTTTAGGGGATATATTGCAAGTAAGAAGTCATTGATCTCCGATAAATATCTACATTTTTATGCTAAAAGAATCAATCTTTCCTCCGTTTCTATGCCATTCACAGATTAACGATTATTGATTTTCTTTTCTTTTCTTTTTCCTAACATTTTCTTTTTAGAGGAAAAAAACACATCGTTTTCTGTTTTTTCCCTCTCTTTGCCAGTTTTTAAAATCAGCATTTTTTACTTTTTATGAAGAAGACATTTCGACCCATGTGTTTCATATAGAAGTTTAAATAAATATAATCTTGAAGTTATTTCTATTTCTGTTCGTTTTTGAATCATCAGGAAAACAAATTAATCAAATGATTCATTCAAAATAATGTCGTATTGTCTTTAATCTACTGGCGACTGTATGAGAATTTGTATTTATCTTTGACCTGATACTTGCATATGTGTTACTACTTTCGTTTTATTGCATTTTTCGATGTGACCTGCAAATGCTTATCTGACAAGAAAATTGAATAATACCTCTCTCTCTCTAATCTAATAATGTCTTGACAAGCATATATGTATAATTGGCTTTATATTTATGGGGGAAGAATGCTCAATCTCAGAGATAATATCGTTTGAGATGTGAAATTGAGTCACTATGCAATGTTGATACTTGTCTCCATACTTAGTGTGTATGTATCGGTTTAACTACTCACACATGTATGTATATAATATATGTATGCGAGAGAGAACCAAATTAGCTGATTTTTGTCTATCAGCTAAACGGATTCAATTTGTCTTTTCTTTTCCAAAAATAAAACTTGGTTCCACACCATTTTTGCTAGCTTTTTTAAATTATTATTTGATAACAATGTTTGCTTGAATGATCTTCTCTTTAAATCACTCAAAAGAAGTTGAATTTGATCCCCAGGGAAGAAGGGGGGAGGTTGCATCTAAAGCCTCCCCTATTTTTTATGCACTTTGCAACAATATCGACCACTAAAATCGATTGATTTGCTAACACAGAAACGAGGACATTATTTTTGTGTGTGATTAACAAGGAAATTATTCACTGAGAAAAGAATGGCGAAAAATAGCTCTTGAAATAAATTTGTTTCTTTTTGGCAAAATGTAAACAACATTCCATGTGGGTTTTTTTTTTATTTTATAGGTTGTACTTTGTTTATTTCTACTTCCTTCTATGTGCTGTGTCCCTTCAGGACGTTTGCAATCATGGCTCTCCACAATTTCCTATCCTTTTTGGAATTATAATTATTGTCATTATTATTTTTGCTTTGAAATCACCTAAAAATCTCATTCCTTTACTGATTGTAATTTCTTTAGCAAACCTTTAGAAACATTTTTTTTTCTTAATTGGTCATTTTAAATGGTGCCTATCATTGGTATTTAAATATTGTAACAATACCAGTCTGCCACAAAAAAAGTCGCATTGTAATAAAAACATTTCTTGAATATTGCCAACTTGATATTGATATTTTTTGCAGAATCAGCAAAGTTATTTTATTTATCCTTTTGAATATTAAACAAAAAGTATTGAAAGAATTTATTTAATTGAAAATATTTGAATTCTATTATGTTTTTTTTTATTATTATTAAAATTCAGTATTTATTTGAAGTGTTAGAAAAAGAAATACTATAAGTTTTATATTTAATTTGTCTTTTTTTTTTCTTTTTTCTTTAGGATTTGTCTTTTGATGCAATGACATTCACATACAAAACTATTTCAAAGCTTTTAAGTATTAACCAGATTTAATAGATCTGGAATGTTATCGTTTAGGGGCCAAATTAAAAAAAACATGGTCCAGTAAATGAATCTAGCAAAGATAAAATAACAATTGAGCTCAAATAGGTACCTTTACAAAAAAACAAAACAAATATAACTAAAGTTTAATATGAATTTTAAAACATGAAAAATCTTTTTTTGAAATTTAATATTTCCAATAAGCGAAATACTTTGCTATATTTCAAAAACTAGTTTAAATTGACTGAAAGTTTGTTTTTTTTTTCCCTCTCTCTCTCTCTCACACACACGTTTAGCACCTTAAGTCACTGTCCATTACAGTGTAATTTTCTTTATTAAAAACTTCCAAAAATAAAATGTACTTTTCTGAAACTTTATTCAAGGAATATTTATTTTAAGTTTAAAATATTACTTTTTTTTTTTATAGCCTACCAGTGGCTATGTTGACATATTTGACAAGGTGATAACAGATCTAATGTTATTCTATGGAGACTTTATCTGTAGAATATAATTTTTAAAAATGACGCGGACACTTTTTTTTTTTTTTTTTATTTAATTTTCAATAACTTGGTAATCTTAAAAATTTAGGAAAATATTCTCCATAATCTAATGTTTTATTGAATTTTAGAAATGTTGACTTTAAATTTACTATAGTCATAGCTCTTATTTTCTGATAATGTTGTGTATGGTTGCCTGTATTAACAAAAGAACTGCGTGTTTATACACCAATAAAAAAAAAAATTTAAAAAAAATTCTAAATTATTTTAAAAATCTTCATGTTTGATTATTTGTATTAAGCTTTTTCTTTTTCTTTTTTTTTTTCCCTCCATTTAATGATTATTAAATATAGTTGTAACAGATGTATATAAAAAAAAAAAAGTAATTTCATTCATTTGTAAATTAGTCTTGAAAATCTAATTCAAATCTGACAATTTTGCAAGAATTTCCAAAACAATGTTTTTTTTACTGGGGAGAAAAAAAAAACTTTAAAAAAAAAAACCCACTAAATTTCTAATACTAATCTTTTGTCCACTGTTGAAACAAGAAAAACAAGATTTTAAAGCAAAATTTTGAATGTGCTAGAAAGGCTTGAAAAATTTAATAAAATAAAAACATACTTTGGTCTTTCCTCTTAATTTTGATGATGATAAAACTTTTTTGTTTATCAAGTTTGTGGCCTTATGCTAAATAACTTTTAGCAAATTTTTGGAGGTTATTGAGATTATACTGCATTGATGAAATGGTGAATTTTGAAGATATTAGTTTTGTTGTCATGGCAATAATAAATACCATATTTATTTAATCCATAATTATTAGCAAAAGAGTGTGTCAATGTAGCTTGCTTTGAATGTGTTATTCCATGTGATTATATTATCTCTTCTTTTTTTTTTTTTTTTTTTTTTTTTTTTTTTTTTTTTCAAAATATTTTTTTGTTAGCGATTAAATTCTACCTCTTGGAGCACTTTGTATGTGTCTTTTTTTTCTTTTTCTTTTTTTTTGCTGTTGAATCTTGTTTCCATATCCCAGAAACTTTGAATGCATAAGAATTGATTCCAGATAAATTCATCATTGCCTTTTTGTTTCACAAAGGAAATGTTTCTTTTAAATTGTATAGACTTCTCTATAAAGTATCTCTGCAAAGTGTAATGCAGGATGTTTCAGTGGTTTTAGTAGATAGTATGCTTTTATAGATGGAGTTATTAGCTCACTGTTTGACTTGATTGACTTTAAGGTTGTCCTTCTAAACTGGTTGCCACCCATGGTTAGATAGCCCGGTCTGCCTTGCTGTTGTTTTAACCCATTGCTGGAGGAATAAAAGATGTTTTTTTTGCCTTTTACATGCGTATTAGTGTGAAGTGAACACAACAGATTTGTGTAAGATTTGAACTTTGCTTGCTGATTCCTCTTTCAATATAGTTAACCATTCTGCCACTTTGATTGATTTCAATAAACTAGAAAATTTCTCTCCAAATAAGGGCGTAAATTTAGTGAATGTTTGAAATATGACTTTTTCTTTTACTGTTCTTTTCTTTCTTTGGAATTAGTGCAAACTCATTATCTTGCTTAATTTCTTGTAGGTTGAGTGAAGATGGGAATATTTTAAAGTTCATCTGAACTTTAAACCTGGCCAACAAAGCCTGATGAATGGTATTGGATCAACATTGGTAACGCAGTTGCCTTCCATTCCACCGGTTTGTGTCAACCCCAAACTCACACCAACCAAAATTGGTTCAAATTGTGTGTTAAATGAGCAAGTCAACTCTTCCATTCTTCATTTTCAATCTTCGTTAAAATCCACCTCCACCCTCTCTTCAATTGAGGGAGATGGAAAGTCAGCTGAACTGGCATCTGAGAAAGCAGAAGCCAAAAAAGTAGCCTCAATCTCAATGGATCAGTCGACTCGTCGAAGGAATCGCCATGCACCAAAGACAGGCGAGGAGTTAGGGGATACAAGTAATGACAATAGCTTGAATGAAAGCAAAATGAAGGTTCCATTAAAGGACCCAAAGACTAAAGTTGGAACGATCCCCAAGGATAGTTCAAATGCTCAGAAAAAGACAGACCCTCTTCTTGAGAAACATGAAAAACCTGCAAAGTGGCTTGTAGGGGACCTGATTTGGTCGAAAGTATCTGGTCATCCCTGGTGGCCTTGCCTTATTGCTTGTGATCCTGTTGAGGGAGTCTACACAAAAGTTAGAGGTAAGTAGTGATTATTAGCCTCTTATAGTTTCAGCTAAAAACTTTTTTGTTTTTCACAGCGGGGGAGGAAAAAAAAGTTGTAGATTACACAATTTGCTTATTGACATGTTTTGAATATAACTTGCAAGTAAAAAAAAAAATTACTATGAACAGCCTATTTATGAATGAAGTTGGATTGTTCTTGAAACTTGTCAATGAGAAAGAGACGTTTAAGTTGTCATGTTTTGTAAACATTATTTAATGACTGCTTTTACCCTCTCAAATAGCCATCTGTTCTGTCAAAATGCTTACATTGAAATTGCATTCTTAAATGTGATACAAAAGTGAGTGCTGTATTTTTAGCTAAAATATTTTTTAAAAGTAAAGAAACAACATAGCCATTCTTAGTTGATAATAAATTAACATTGACTTAAATGTAACATTGTCCTAATATTAAAATCAGATGATTTAGTTTTCAAATTGGTGGCAGTTGTTAGGTACTGACTAATTTTACATGAAGTCTTAAAGAAATTACCAAAAATTAAATAATAATCAATGATTAGTTTAATCCAACACTCTTGATGAGCCTCTTGTAAATTGGAATTTTATGTAATTTGTACATTCAGTTACATTGATTAGAAGATATCAGTGGTTAATATGGCCTTAGAAGACAAAAGATACATTAATATGAATTTTCTTAATTGAAAAAAAAAAAAAAAAAATTTTTTTTTTTTTTTTGTTTTTTCTCTTCCACTTAAATAATTTTAAAAGGCAAATTGTTTTACACGTTTTTGATTTGTTCACTTATTTATAACTGAGGTGTGAAATGGCTTCTTTTTATTGCGATTCTAAAGCAACTTTGATAATGCTACAAATTCAAAATTGTCATACTTTGTTTTAACAAATGTCAATGTACCCCCACTCCACTTCATTCAAGCAATAAAAGTTAAATTAGTTGAATCCTGAAAATACAATCAGAAAAAAAAAAAACTGGTTTTAAAATATAACTCATTAATTACTTTATCTTTTTTTTTTTTTTTTTCCTCTCTCTCTCTATCTGTCTCCTTTTTCTACACTTTGTCACTCTGTGGTTTTTTGGGTGTCTTTTCTTAGAGCGGATGGTGGGTAGTGGCTTATTTCCATTGGATAATATGTTGTCTTTGACAATCTGTGTTTACTATTTGAGACTTCCTTGTATAAACCTAGTTAACATTTGTAATCGGTCTTTACTTGTCAAATATTAGGAATCATTCAATTTTAGAGTTTTTCATCAAAACTGCAAAGAAAGATATTAAAAACATTTATGGCCTGTCACTTTACACACACCAGGATGGAGGTGCACTTATAAAAAATAAAAAAAGACCAATTGAATAAGCTGCTGTGCTGGTTTCAGCAATATGAAGATGTACACATTAAAAAAAAAAAAAAAAAAAAAACTATTAGCAACCTAACATTTTCAGTTAACTAAAGATTCAACCTGCTTTTAACTTACAGGGATGTTTTTTATTCCTATTCTTCTTTTTTTTTTGTGTGTGTATATATATATATATATATATATATATATGTGTGTGTGTGTCTTAAATTTTTTCCTTAATACTGTTCTTGATATATCAACATATATATTATCTCATACATATATTACTTCAACAGGTTATGTTTTGAATTTATTTTTATATTTTAACTGTTTGACAGGTTTATATTTGATATTTTTCACAAGGTTAAAAAAATAATGATACTGAGCCTGGTGTATACGCAAGGCCGGGAGCTTTGTTGGAATATTCACTGCATAATGTTGGATCTGATATATGGAAAAATGCATTTTCGATTATGGAGATTATGTTTAAAAATATGTTGTACGAATACGTTTTTCATTATGACTTATTGGTATTATTATTATTATATGTATTGTTTGTGTGTATGTCCCATCTTTTTAGATTTAGTCTTGAAAGATAAAATAGATTCCACTAATTTCAGGGAATTAATTTTTCTTTAATCTATTTCTAAGAAATAGTTTAAGAAGTTTAATATTTTTGTTAAAGGGAAGAACATTTTCAATATTTTTTTTATTTGAGAAAGTAATGTTTGCATTTTGACTGAGTTTTTCACCTGCATGATTCAAGGGAGATAAATCAAGTTAGCCACAAATTTCGCTCTCATCTCAGTAATGCAGATAAAATATTAAATAGTTAAATATTTGTTACATACAAAAAACCAAGATTTATACTCGTCCCTTGTAGAATTATTGGATCACACCAATTTTGTTCCTGAATTTGAAATTTATCTCCATTAGTGTCACTTTTAGATATAAGAAATGATAAAGTTTGACATTGTGTGTGTGTGTATGTGTGTGTGTGTGGTTTGAAATATTCTCAAATCTTGGCATTTGAAACTAATATTTTGCCACTAACTACCGACTTCATTCTTTTACTTCCTGGTGGTCTTGACTAATCATTATTCTATTTTGGTTTTTTTTTTTTTTTTTTTTTTTTTCTTCTTAATAAAACAATTGTAATTGCCAAGGAGCATTTTATTTCTCCTATATGCTGTTAAATCACAAATTTTTAACAGCAAGACTTATTGAATGTCAGAGACCTGTTGACCTTTTTTTTTTTTTTTTTATCAAACAATGTGACATTTCTTCTTGACTAGGTATCACACATCATAATGAAAGCCCTGTGGCCTGTTCTTATTTTTTGTATATATTTTAAGTAGGAAACTTGTAGCTTTGCTTAAATATTTTGATTTCATTAGATTCAGATTTTATCAGATCTTCTTTGAATGGAGAGAAACTTTTTTTTTTTTTTTTCCAGAAAGAAATTGTAATTTTTTATTATTTGTAGGCATGTTGATTTACTAACCATTTATATTTTGCTCCCTGTTAACTTGTTAGTCTCTTGTATAGGAGAGAGGTTAGGGGTAAAGTTCACAAGTGTGTTTTGCTAATTGTCCTGTCAAAATATTTACATGAAAGATCTTTTACTTATTTAAGGTTTCAGAGAATTTATAGGTTGACTACTTCTATACTAAACCTAGGTAAAATTTGGTTACTCTTTTAGAATGTTTTTCATCCCCAAAATAAAACCTTTTTAGAAAATGTTTAGAAAGCATCATTATTGGCTTTGCATTTAAGTTATGAAATATTAGACCAGAAAATAAAAATTCATTGTTTTTATTGATTTATTTGAAACTTACTTTTTTTTTTTTTTTTTTTTTTCAATTTGTTTTAAGTTTATGTGAAAATAATATTTGTATATAGCAATTTTGACTTTTTCTGGATGACTTTGATTAAAATAAGAAATGGCTGTTTGCAGAGCTGAATGGGCCCCCACCCCTTGAAGATTTTCTCTGCTAAATGCATAAACCTTCTCCAATATAGTTAAGCTATTTTGAGGATATATTCCCATCGTTTTGCATTGTGGGTGGTGGAATTGAATAGTTTTCTCACCTCTCTCTCTCTCCACTGTTATTTGCATCAATATATTGGCTCCTGAGTTGCTGGAATGTTGAATCTCAGAAGGCATTCTGTTGATTACAGCTGGAAGCAACCCTTATTCACATTGATTAGATATCTATGCTATATGACCTGTGGTTACCCTGGCAGAATCAAAAGGATGGTCAAAACAAGAGAACTTAGCATTCAGTTGAACTGAATCCAAGCAGGACATGGTTTAGAATAAAGGTGTAAAGGGGAGTTAAAATAGATTGATATCTAATGGAAGTTCCTGTATTTTACTAAATAATAAAACCATATAAGCTTCAGAAATTAGTCCTGCATATATGTGCTGATTTTCTCTGGAAGAAAATGAAATTAAAATTTAACTTTTTAATATAGTAACATGAGATAATAATCTGTGTGTATGTGTCTGTAAAAAGTCTTTTCTTGTTTTTAAAAAAAATGTACAATGTATACCATTTGCATGAAAACTTTGTGAATTAAATCAACATCTGTATTAAAACTGCAGACATCTTCAGAGTAGATTACAAGACACACACATTAGGAAACACATGGAAGCCAAGAAGTTAAATGAAAAAAATGTGTAACATGTCATGAAGATGTTATCCATTTGTCTTGTGAATGATTTGTCTTTTCTGTCTGTCTCGTTCACTTATGAGCTCAAGTTCTTTGAAATTTTTAGCATAGTTGTATTGGGTAAAGAAAAAAAGAAAATTTATTTTTTTAATTTTTTTTATTGTTTCAAAATAAACCCTTCATTCCCCTTTTTATTTAATAAACTATACTGAAGCTCTATTATTTAATCAACTATTTATTATAAATTTAAAGTGCTTACATTCAAGTTTCATTTTCAGTGTTGAATTTTTTCATTAAAAAAAATAAGAAAATTTGAATATGAGAAATCCAAATCAGATTAGTTTATTATATATATATATATATATATATATATATATATATAATATTGTTTATTGAAACCTGGTTGTTAAAATGAGGTGTTGAGGATGTAATATCTTCAGTTAAGATCCAACTAGATAATTTTACCAAATAGTGGACATGAATTTTTTTTTTTTTTTTTTTCTGTAATTAAAGGTATTTTCTCATGGATATGCACTCTTGAGACAACCTTTGAATCCCTATTTAAGATTGAGCATAAAAATAATTTAAAAAAAAATTATAGCAAAATTGTTTTCCGGGACAATGTTTAATTTGCTGTTCCAATCATCATTACATCTGAAAATTAATAAAAATAAATGATACCTCTTTAAATAAATGAATAAAAATTACTAGCTATAATCATTAGACTGGTGAAAAGTAGTTAATTTCATGATACCTCAAATGGACTATAATCAAAAAAAAAAAAAAACATAGAATGGAGAGGAATAACTATCAGAGCAATTCAAAGGCTACAGTGAATGTCCCAGAATTTGTTTTTTATTCTGTCCTGACAAATTGGGTGAATTGACATGAAAGCTGTTGATAGTTGAAGCTAACCTCTTTCCACCTTCCTCAATATAGAGTAAAACTGAGCTATCTATCATTGACTAGTTTTTCAAAACAGTTTTAACCACAGTACGCTTTTGGTGAGACTTTATTTCTAAAATTCTATGAATTGGCTGATCACAGAAATAGGCCTTGACAAAGACCAGAAGATAGATAATACTGATGCTTCTGGATCTCTCTCTCGGGAAAACATTTATATCTCAAGAAGTAGTTCTGAAAATATTTTCCATTATATCAATCCATTACAAAAATAGTAAGAAGACTTTTCAGTGCTATTGAAATATTTTATATAAATGTCTATTTAAAAAGAAATGGTGACTTTTTATATACAGATTATAAACTTGTAGTTTAATTTTAGCAAATAAAACTAAAAGTTTGTTAAAAAGAGAAATATTTTATTTTTATTTCATTTGCAAAATCTGAATAGCATGAGAAAAAATTGCTTAAAATTATAACTTTTTTTCTCACTCTTTACATGGTAAACATTTCAAAATACTAGTTTTAGTTTTGATCAGGTACACAAATAAGCCCCCCTTTTTTTTTTTCTCTCTCTCTATACTATGGGTGCACAAATATAATACAGTAAAAATTTCAGATACAAAAACTTTTGCTAATATGTATTTTCTTTCATTCTCTTAATTTCTCATTTTCTTGGTTTAGGCAACTCTCCAATTGTTTGTGCAGGATAAAAAGAACTTCTATTTGTGTATCTAAACCTTATATTATTCTAATAACAATCTTCTTTTTAAACTTTTAAACAAAGTTGACATTTGCAGATTTGAATACTTTTCTATGTTAATCTCCTTACCTAAATGATTTCACAATTAGTATCCAAGTTTTCTGATTTCTTGTAGCTAGATTTTCTGCTGTTAACATTAACTATATAGGTTTTCTAAACATCCTTAAAAAGATTATCTACTTTTTTTTTTTTTTATTATAAAACTCTTCATCAGTGATCCCAGGTTGATTGATCCAACATTCTATTGACTGAATCCTAGATTGCATTTTTAAAAAAAAGGGGGCTTTCATATGTTCACTTTGGATGGCATACAATCTTTGATTTTAAGTGCATCATTTGTACGATTCTGCAACATTCTGTTGAACATAGTCAACAGCTAAATCTACTTAAAAAGATTAAGACACAAGGTAGTGATCATCATCATGTAACCATTTCTCAAGAGGATATTTTGCAGTATTTCTGCTTATGTCCTTGTAGCTTTCCTCTCTTTTTAGATGGTGATTCAGAATATATATCTCATGCCTCAGTGTATGACAGTATAGAGATGCAGAAGGCAATTAGGTCCCTCTTTGACAGGAAGCATTTACTTGGGTGCCTCCTTGAAGGTCACATGACATTGTTGGCGGGAATTGTTAGTTACTGCTTAGCTCACCATGGAGGGCAACCCAGTTCCCAAGCATCCTAAATAGGAACCCAAGACCTACCACTGGGCTGTACTGTGTTGCTCTTGGGAATGTTACAAGTAAGATCTTTTTATTTGTTACCATCACATACTGTTTGCCTTTTCTCTGTGGGGACAGTTTTGTGACGTGTGTGTGTGTGCGCGCGCACACATGCATATTGCATCTTAGTGTGACTGATGTTTTCACATATAAATTATCTTTGGAATTCATTACTGTTCTGTTCTCATTCTTCCTTCTGTCTAGTTAAGGTATTAGTATATCACAAATATACTAATGCTTATAGTGGACCTTGAAGAGTGAAAATCAAGATATTTCTTCTCTTATTCCCAAGCACTCCATTTTCAGTAACTCTTTTTGGCAAAGTTATATATATATATATATATATATATATATATTCTCCATATTGTTTTTGAATGATATATGTTCTATACACAATTCTCATGGCTGGTTCATTATAATAGCACCCCCCCCACACACACACATGCTTTAAAACAAAATTTTTCAATAAAAAAATGGTATTTGAAATAGCTGGAATGTAGTGGAAACAATAAAAGTCTATGAATGAAGCATTTTGTGTAAATTTGCTACTTGTTATATTTATAAATATTGGCACAAATATAACCTAAATTATGGCACTTGGGTTTAGTTCTGAGACTTGAGTTTTAGTAATCTACATAATTACAAAATAACATCTAACAGTGTCTTACATCTATTTACATTAGAGGAAATATTGAATATTCCTGGCTACTGTTTTCTTTATTTATATATATATATATATATATATATATATATATATATATACACACACACTTTTTTTTTCTTCTTCAGTACACTTATTAAATGTCAAAACTCACAAATGTTTCTGTAACAATTTTCAATTTTTTTTGGTAGTTGAAAAATGAAGACCAGCTTTAAAGTGCTAATATTCTGATGATTTTAATTCTTTCAACACTAACAAGGCTTCAAGACTCACACTCACTGTGTAGGCTATTACAAATTCTCCTGTGAGATTAGCCCAGTACATGTCTCTGCATTTTCTACAAGTTCTCTTGGGCCTTGAAAACTTAAAAAATATTTTGTAATATTTATTGTGCAGATGAAACAAATATTTGGGAATTTTGACATCTGCTTGTCTCTATTCCAATTTCTGATATTTGCTAAGTGAGAAAATATTACATAATATGTAAAGAAACTTAAAATATAATAATGAATATTGGAGTGAAAGTTTAATAAATCCTAGCCACGATATCACAGGTGACATAAACAACTTGTGTTATAATCATTTGTAAATATTTGACCAAAAAAAACACAAAAAAAATCAAAAGTAAATTGTACTTTAAAAGTTAATTTTTCTCCCTTTTTATTTTTTTTCATTCTTATGTACTAAGTCTGCATAGGTTGATTACTAAAATGTTAACATAGGACATAAGAAAATAGACCTAATAATTTTACAGTGCTTCTTATTTCAGGAGCACTGGAATTGTCTGTTGTCATTGATCTTACAAAGTTTTATGAACCAACATTTTTAATTATGAACTGTGTAATCATAAAGGAAAATCTCACCTTTTCTTTACAGGACAGTTTGAATAATTTCCATTTAATAAAATGGGAGTCCTGCAGGGATATTCCTCTTTCAAAACAGTTATCAAAATCATTTTAACAATGGTAATACATAATTTCATCCTGTGGGTTATTAGGACAACCAGTAGTAAGACTTCTCAACAGAGAAATGAGTAGTTGAACACAATTCCACCATCTTTTCTCTTATATTTCAAACAGTAGAGGAAAGTTTGGAAAGAATGGAACCAAGAATATTATTTAAACCATTTGCAAGACGGTTCCAATCAGGGTGGTGCTTTCAGTTTTGGTGAACAGTTTGAAAGTATTGATTGTTAGTTTCTGCATTCTGTTGAGAATATTAATGGACATGAAAAAAGAAAGACTGGTATCCATGGGGAAACTCTATGCCATGCAAATCTTAAACAAATAAATAAAGCAACTCTATAGACACATGTATTCTATTGGTTTTTTAGGACTGGAAATTAACAAGAAAAATGTCCAGAAAAACCTGCTGAAAGAGATTTATTTTCAATGCGCTCTTCTCAGATATTAGATAAAGAAAGGCAAGCAGATCTGATAAATTCAATGCTTGAAAGTAAAACCATTAAAATTTGTTAATGACAAGTTTGCCAATGTTTAAGAAGTGATTTTGTTTTGAAAATAAGTGTTTAGTTTGTCTTCTTTAACATTTGTGTGTGTGTGTTCAGATTTGTAAGTCTGCATTTATAAAATTGGAGTTTTTCTTTTCATTAGAAATTATTTCTTTGCAAAAATAATTTTTACTTACATTTTAAAACCAAATTAATTTTATTTATCTTTTCCTTACAATATTTCATCTTAAGTTTGTGTCATTAGGGTTTTTATATATAAAACGTAAGGTGAGGAATACTTGCTAGCTTCTAATCACGGTTTTTCTAACAGCTTTCAACAATGTTTTTAAATTTTGCTGAAGAATTTAACTCTCTATAAGATTGGGCTTCATAAGGAGAAAAAAAAAAAACTACCTGTTTTCTAAATGCTAAAGGTTTTTTATACAGATGTCAAAATGTAACTTATTGACTCTTTAGGACATTTTCTTAAATGTATGTAGTTTTAGGAAGTAAATATTGATAGTTAATACCAAGTGATTTCTTTTTAGAAAAAAAAAAATAAGATTAAGTTTGTTTTTGTTTTTTTTTTGTTTTTTCTTTCCTGGAATGCTTTTACCTAGTTTTTAATTCCATGCAGAATCATGAAAAATATTTAAAAAGTTTATTTAGAGATTTCTCTAATTCTCTTTTACATTAAAGCTTGTGGTTGAATGAATTTCTATTGGTTCTTGGGAAATACCAAATGTAATGTGTAATTACAGTTTGCAAAAGGATTTAAATATTTTTCTGGTTTAAATATTTTTTTAAAGCATCCTTTTTTAATAATCATTTATTACTATAAAGGTTTATATTCAGTAGCTGCATTTGATTAGACACGTGTACACACTTTATAATGTAATACAATTACATTAAAACAAAAAATGGTGATGTCTACACAAGCATTCATACTGAGTGAATATACTGTTTATAGCAATAAGAAATTTAAGTCATTAAATATCAAGTGATAAAGAATTTTCTCTGTCAGTCAACATTTTCCCCATTTAGATCAAGGACATTTTAATTGCTCTTGAATATAATTAGTGACTTGAATTTTAATAACATTTTTAAAATCTATTGTATAACCAAGGATAATTGGCTAAACATTTTCAAAAATTGCAAAACCTCTTACTAAAAGTTATAAAATTGGCTATATATTCAAATACTAAGATTTTCTCTACCTACTGCTTCTGTGGAAATATTTTTGGTTACAAGATGTCAACAATCTTTGGCTAGTTAGAGGTGTATGTTTTTAACTTGGCCATGAAAAAACTTATTTGTACATTTGAAATGTTTTATATATAAGAAGAAAAAAATGATTGTGTATTCCATCTAACCTTCATTAGATCTGTTTATTTGTATGTTAATAGGAATCCACTTCTATTTACAAATTTTTCTTTTTGTTATTTCAGTCAAAGGCAAGGGTTGTGTGCGGAACTACCATGTCCAGTACTTCTATGATGAACCTGAGCGAGCATGGGTGAGTGAAAATGCCACGCTGGGATTTGAAGGGAAAGACAAGTTCTTCAAATATGTAGAAGACATGCTAGAGAGAGCCCCAGCAAAACAAAGATCCCAAATTTCCCAGAAATACGGGGTCAGTAAGCATAAGCGTCCTGTATGGGACCGCGCTGTGCGATTAGCTGAGGCAGCCCTGCCCTTGTCACATGTTGAGCGGAAAATGCGCTACATAACAAATATCAACAAACAAACAGAGAACAGCAAAGTTGAAGAAAAACCATTGCAGCAACAACAACAGCAGCAGCAGCATCAGCAGCAGCCAGGCACGGAAGAGCAAGAGAAATCAGGTGAAATTCCGAAACCTGCTAAGGTTGCTTCCAAAAATCAGAAGCAAAAGACTGAGAACAATAAAGTTAAAAGTGACTCGTGTCCAAATGATAATGTGTCCGTGCTAAATGGAACTCTAGCTAAGAAACGCAACTCCTCTGCTGGCCCTATGAATGACTCTGTTGTAAACAATTCATCTCCTCAGCGAAAAAAGCAAAAAATGTCTGGTGGGGCTGATCAGAGCAGCACCAGTGTAGCACCGAAATCAGGGAAAGATGACGGTTCTTTTGATATGTTTTGTCAGAAACATAGGGAAGGTGTTCTATCAGAGCACACAGACTTTGATGAGCAAATGGTAGTTGAATATCTCAGGCAACAGTGGAGTATGATGAGTCAGAAGCAGAAAGCTCGTTACAAGTCTAAGTTTGGTGGTGGAGGAGGAGGAGAAGGTAGCGTTACAAGCAGAGCTACATCATCAGGTAAATGAATTTTAACTGTTTTATTGAAGCAGTTGAAAGAAAGCGGCCTGACGAAAGCGAAAGCTGTATTTTCAAAAAGAGCGGGTTAATTATACAAAAAAAAGAAAAAGAAAATAGGTCATGTTTTTTATGTAAAGGAAGAAAGAAAGAAAGGGAAATCTCAATAGTTTTTACTCTTTCTATAATTTCCCTCTTTTCTTTTTTCTTTTCCTATTTTTCTTTTTCTTTCCTCAAACAATATTTTTTGCTAAATTTTAGACTGCATTTTGGTCTTTGTTGAAAATTGGAATTCCTACAACAGGAAAAGAAAAAAAAAATAATGGGGGGAGTGATAAGATTGGGGCACAAAGGTATCCCAAGTATAGATTAGGGGGAACATTTTTATTTTATTTCTTATTTCATTTTTATTTATTTATTTTTAAAGCAATTTTCCAATTCATCTTTTTTTTTTTTTTTTTTTTTCTTTTCTTTTCTTTTCTTTTCTTTTTTTTCTCTCCACCCCAAGCCTTATTTCTAACCATTTTTCTTTCCCCCTCACACATCAGCTAGACTCTTTAATTCCTTAAATGTTGTCGAGGGTGTTTAAAACTGGAGAAAACAGCCTGATTTTGGTGGACTAGCTACCTTTGAACTTTTCACTACGGGCTGTTCCAGAGATGAAAGGTTAATACAACTTGAGATTGCTGTGTGGAGAGAAGGCTCCAGTTTTCACCACAAGAAAAGCTTACTTTTGATCTACTTACTAACAATTTTCTAAGTTTAAAAAAAAAAAAAAAAGTAAGAAAAATATTTCCCCCCTTTTGACTGAGAGAGCGAGAGAGAGAAAGAGTAAATAAAACTTTTCAAGAATTGGCTGAAATGATTCAGAATTACTTACATAGTCCCATATATATATATTTGCTCATAATTTTGGGTCTGCTGAACCACTGATGAAATTTTCTTGGAAAAATGCATTTGGAGCCCTGGGAAGGGAACGTGCAAGAAAATATGCTAAGCATTCTTTTCTTTCTATTCTTTTCATTTTCAATACAAGGCACACTTAATTATAAAATCAGTTTTCATTAGTCAGCATTAAAGAATTTATTTTGACACTAGTTTCCATTCATCTATTTAAAAAAGTAATATATATATATATATATATATATATATATATATATATATATATACACACACATCTCATACATTCACTTTCTGAGAGGTTTGCATTCCCGTATTTTTTAATGTTTTTTTTTTTCTTTCTAAATCCTCGACAAGTTATTTAATTTTTCCTTTTTTCCTCCTCTCATCCGTCTGATTTGATTTTTCCTAAGTTAGCTTAAAAAAAAAACACGAAACTTTTGTTTCTAGTTTGAATTTTTTTTTTTTTTTTTTTCCCTCCCCTTTTTTGTTTTTTGTTTCGCTTAAAATTGAATTGAGAGAGTAACTAAGCATGAGTATTGTTTTTAATACTCATTACCCCTTCACCAACTCCTGCCACCACCTTCATTTCTGGAATAGCCCTGATTTGTGTATATTGGTTACATGTTTTTATCCTTGTACTTTAAAAAAAAAAAAAAAATTGGAAAAAAAAAATGTTGTAATTTGATATCACCTCATAAGCTCATGTACCCATAGAAAATAAACAGTAGTTATCATTGAAAAGTGATGTTACTGAGTACTGTTATGAACTTCTTCTTGTATTTTCTCTTTTTTTTTTTTTTTTCTTTTTCCTTTTGTGTGTGTGATCTGTGGCATGTTCACCATTTAATACTTGTCTAAATATGGCATGCTAATTCTCCAGTTAGGTCTCCAGATTTAAACACAACTCGATTATTTTAATTGACAACTGATTCGGCAAACATTTATTGATGGCATTATTTACTTTCACCTTGGTCATTTCTTCAAACTGACTTTGGCTTCTGATGATATTGTAAGAATAAATAAAAAAAAAAAACCAAAAAAAAAAAACCAAATAAAATCAATAAAAGAAAAAGGGGGGATATGTTTAAAATATTTCACCAAAAGCCAAATTCTGCATATGCCCAACATGCCAGAGAAGCCTAGCTGTACTGTTTGTTTCTGTTAAATGATATTTACCAATTTTCAGTCTTGGATTCTCAAATTGGTAGCCAAGCACATTTTCGGTAAGTTCAGCTTCTTATTAAGTGTTGCTTGCTCTCTCTATACACCTTTTAGTAAAGTCTTAATTTTCAGAGAATCACAGTTTGTAAGTTTATCAAGATAGAGGTTTCTCACAAAACATGAAACTGGAAAAGAAAAAAACAGCTTTCGCTCTCATTGGAAGCTAACCCTCCTTTTACATTTTAACCATGAAACTGAAAACAATAATTCCTTCATTCTAATTTTTTTTTTTTTTAATTGCAGGATTCTCAGTTCATCAATATGCTTTTTTTTTTTCTTTTTTTTCTTCTTTTCTAACTTAGATTTAAGAAATTGTTTTATATATTTTCTTTGCTTTTTTATTTAAAATGTTTCTGCTTCTAAGTTTTGATGTTCTTTTTATGTTAATTATGCAATTCTGACATAGGATTTTAAGAAATCTTGATTCTTTATTGCTTGTAGGGGAAAAACAAATTTGAAAGGACAAGTTTGCTTTTCACTATTGCAGTATAACTTAATTTGAATACACACAAGTTTCATATTTAGTGCTTTTTGTTTTTACTCTCTCTCCCCCTCTCATAATAGAATATATTTCCCAAATAAGAAAATGTTTTTGCTTTATTGCAGTTAGTTTTCTTTGTGTTGCTTTATTTATTTATTCTTTCATCCCCCCCCCCTCTTTTTATATTTAACTTACTTACATAACCTCCACACTATTTTAATTCCAGTAAGTTTATTTGAGTTTAAATATATAGGCTCTTTGAACCAACTTTATATGACATGCATAAAAACAGGTCTTTCTAAAAGATTTCGTGTATATTTATAGAATTGGATTATTATTATCTTTTTTTTTTTTTTTTCTTTTTTTTTTAAAGTAAATCAGGAATCCTTTTTCCAGATAATTGATGTTAACATGTTTCTGCCAATTCACTATTAGTCCTTATCAAGTGTTCTGTCAGAGAAAAGAGAGGAAACCTATTTCTTTTTGAAAGAATGTTTTTTTTTTGTTTTTTTTTTTTTTTTTTTGCATCATGGGATACACTTGAACGTATTGGCTGAAACATGTCAGCAACAGTGAAGGAGGGGTTTCAATTTTGGGAAAATATTTGGGTAGGTTTAATGACTTCAATCAATATTTCAAATATTCCTTAGCAGAGTGATTTTTCTTCTTACTGATATAATTATTGCTATTTTGATGCAGCAAACAAATTTAAATTTATCAATCTGTTTGTGAATAGTGAACTTTGATGAACTAAGCAATGGTGTGAATTACTTAAAAGGTACAAATAAGATTTATTGTTTTGGTGGTAGATTTCAGTCATGCATTGAAAATCCTCTTGTAACATGCTCTTGACTTGTAATAGACTTTGTTTGGAGAAGGTTGAAACAGTTTGTCAACAAACTGCATTGGCAAATACATAGTGGCTCCTGACAATGTAGGAATTTGTTTTGGACTGCAAATTTAATCATTGCTTCATGATTTATATACCATTTGAGATAAACAACATTTTTAATGAAATTGAAATTTAAACTCTAAAAACTTCCATGCTTTAAAATTATAGATATTAACTTGGAGTTTTAAAAACAAAAATAGCTCTGTCTTAATTTACTTAAGGATGGCACCTAGTTTTTAGATTAATATTATCTATTGTCAAAGATAACTTTTTGCCAATTCCCACTTAAGAGGGTTACAATATAAATAATTTCTGTAGCTGTTAAAAATTCAGAAAGTTGTGCATTCTATTTATTTTCCTGAGAACTATGATGGATACAGAATACAATAGCGTGGTTGGAGAGTTTCAGCAACAAACCGCTTTCTCCATAAAGATACCTCCATTGGCTATGCATTCTTACCAGCAGTGAATAATGCCTGCATGCTCTGTACTCACAAAAAACATACACCAGCAAAGACAACCCTCTTTTTCACTGGATCACATTACTCCTTGCATAAGTATGCTCATGTCCACTGTTTGGTCTCTGGTAACACATGATGTCAATGAGTGTCATTTTTTCAGCATGGCAGAATTAGATGAAACATATACACTTTCAGGTGCCATTTCTGCCAGACTGTGATCTGTAACAAGACAAAAAGAAAACAAATGATGTGTTATTATTGCAATGGTTTGATCTCTACTGCCCTACCATCCACACCTCTCCAGATGTTGTGGGTCAGCATAATAAAATAGGAGGGCATTACTTTTGGAATGACCCTCCTTTGTTGATGACTTTAGTTGGGAGCATTTTGAACAAACCTCACTTTATTGAAATGGAATTATCTGAAATATAACTATTCTGATGAACTAAATTTTTTTTTTTCTGGTAGGGGAGCTTTTGTGCAAGTCTTTTAGATTTGATTAATTTGCTCATTGTTTTTGTGATCGGCTTTCCTAGTGTGTAACAGATTACAAATAATGAGGTTTGTAGAGGTTTCCCCACGACCATTTAGACTATTAGAATGTTTTGCCAAACAATTCTTGTTCATGTGTTCATGTCATCTCTGAGAGAAATGGGTTGCTTGCCTTTCTTCAAGTAATTTATGACAGGTTGTACTGGATTATATGGTACCAAGAGCAAGGAAAAATCTCGGCCCTAATCTATTAAATAGCAAAGATGGATTGCCTTATAAAGCTAAAGGATTCCTATGACATTGATATTTATCTATAGTAAGGATGAAATGTGGGTTCATGCCTTTATTATGAGCATTAGTGCAACCTGAAAACAGTCTCAGCCAGTTTTGTTTGCCCAATTCCAATATAAAAGAAATACTTGTTTTAAATAAAACCTGGATAAGGAAACATAATATTTTGAATTGCATTTCATTCTTTCAGGAACTTTATTTCTTTCTTTGATAATGAAGTTATGAAAGAACAAAATGCCTTGCAAAAATAAGTTTCCTATTT